CTTTCCCTTCTTCTCTGGTTGTCTGATTACTCTTCCTCCTCTTCTCTTCGCACGCGGTATGCTTATCTTCTCCTCTCTTCACAGCCGCGAAAAATATGTTTTGATTTCTGTATGCACATCGACTTGTTGGATTTTGTTGGCTTTGGGTTGGATTCGTTTGTATCTATTACAGTGGGGTTGGATTCATTTGGATGTGCAACGACTTGTTGGATTTTCGGTGGCTTTTGGTTTGTGTTTAGCATCTATTACAGTGGCTAAAATTTCTTGTTGGATTAACTAACGTTTTTGTTGGAATTGAATGTATGGGTGGCTTTGGAATTGTCATTGATGGTTATTGTTAACCAGTTTTGATATGTTTTTTTCTTGTTTTCATCTTTTTTCAAATAGTTTTCAGCTTAAAATAATTGACTAATGGATTTTATTTTGCTGCTTTAAAGAAAGATGAGCTCAAGAGTTCCAAGGACATCCAGAAGATTGTTATGCCACTGCGGACTAGAGAAATCCTTTCTGAGATCACGTCAGCCCCATAGCTATGATCGATAGTTTTACAGATGGTCGCGGACTTTCGCAGAAAAATGTGACTTCTTCCGATGGGTTGACGGTCAGGTTGATTCTACTACCAAAAGTGATCACGAATTCATAGCATCATTGAAAAATAATTTAGGACGAGACATGCATCGCCTTCATGTTAAAAATAATATCATCATTATTTTACTTGTAACTTTATTAATTTTTTTTCTTTTTCTTTAACAATTTCAGTACTCATTGTTAAGTGAGTTGTTTATCTGAAATTTGCTTCTGTTTTGAAATGAATTTCTGTTTCTGATGTATCAAATATGTGGTTGTCACAGTTCTGTTTTAAAAATTTTTACTAAACAGGGGCAGAATGGTCATTTTTCTAGAAACAGTAGCCCCACAACTGTTTTTACACAGCTGCAACAAACAGACAGTCAGCTTCCCGGCAGCAGCTCCCCAACAACAGCTTTCTGGGCAGCACAACTGCAGCTGAAAAGCTGAGAAGCTGCAACTGCCCCCAACTGACCCATAGCGTGATACCATGTACTATCACCATAACACCCTTGGTTACCTTCAAATTGCAATTAACGAAAGTCAAGTACTATCTTCTTCATTGACTCCTACAATAGAGATCAAACGCCTCTTTAAGCATGGAATATGCCATACTTGTAAAGCTTTTGCATAATATCAATGGAGTTAAGATTCCTCTTTAATTCATCTACCAACAACAACAACAACAACAACAAAGCCTTAATCACACTACGTGAGGTCGGCTACATGAATCCTTTTTCTCCATTGCGTCCTATTTAGTGTCATATTTTCATTTAGTTATAATAAATTAAGATCATTTTTTATACAATAAGCCCAAGTTTTTCTAGGTCTATTTTTGTCTTTCTTAACATAAGTCGGATCTAAAACATCTACTTTCCTAATTGGATCATCAGATGTTCCTAATTGGATCATCAGTCCTAATTGGATCATCAGATGGTCGACGTTTAATGTGATCAAACCATCCAAGAAGACTATCTCTAATTTTGTCCGTCACTGGAGCTACACCAACCCTATCACGGAGATATTCATTTCGCATTTTGTCTCTAAGTGTAAAGTCACTCATCCACATAATCATTCTCATCTTGGCAACACTTAACTTAGTATTATGCTTCTCTTTAAAAGGCCAACATTCAGCGCCATAGAGCATTGCAGGTCTCACCACCATCTTATAATTTTTTTTCTTTCAGTCTAAGCGGTACTTTTCTATCACACAAAAGGCCCGAAGCATTCCTCCACTTCAACCAACCAACTTGAATTCTACTATTAACATCCACATCTATGTCACCATCGCTTTGAACAACAGACCCGAGATATTTAAATCGTTCACACCTTTTTAATAATTTGATCACCCAAAGTTACACTTCGGTCACTAGAGCTACTACTACTAAAATTACATTTCATGTATTCAGTTTCAATACTACTCAAATGAAGGCCTTTAGACTCCAAAAAACTTTGAACTACTTTATACGCATTATATGCATCAATGTTATTTTCTTTTCCTTTTCTTTTTTTATTTTCATTAAAAGCTGTTTCTCCCCAATCCACATCTAGTCTCATACTAATATATGTTAAAACAATCTTATTAATTCAACTAACATTATAACTGCAATTCCTCCCAAAGTAAGCCCAATAGAATCATGTTACTCCCAGAAATTAATTTCAGTTAGCCAACATTATAACTGCAATTCCTCCCTATGAATTGCTCAATAGAATCATGCTACTTCCAGAGATAAATTTCAGTTAGCAACCCAACTTACAGGCCACGGTAATCTGTAAAATAAATCCGGTAATTTTTATAGAAGCATGTAACCGGTATGAACATACAAGGTTCCCGAGAAAACTCAATCCCTCAGCCTCCCTCCACCCCCACTCAACCATAAAAGAAAATATTCTTTAAACCTAAAAAATATAAATGAATTTGATAAAAAAACAAAGAAATATATATTGCATTATTTAACTTTTATCTGGGAGAAAAAAATTTTATTACACTAAGGGGTTGTCTGATTTGCCATAAATAATAGGCAGTGAAAGGCATATATTTTAAGATAAATAAAACATATTTGAAATGTTTTAGAATTAATTTGGCACGAATACTCAAGTTACACAGTTATCGCTTTGCTATCTTAAATCTTAACATCATCACATACCTTGGTTAATTGCTTCATGGCATACTGTCTCAAGCGAACATCAAAAGATGACAATATCTCATTTGCCTGCATAGAAAGTTAACCCACATTATGCAAGCCAGAGAAATGAATAAAAAATTCGAAACTATGCATTGAGAGAACCTCAATTAGGGTCACGTGAATGTAATCTTTGACATGGGTGTATCTTTCATGAACATCACTAATTATGAAATCACTTAGTTCACCACTAAACTCAACTCCGGTAGGACCACCTCCAATAACAACACAATGTAACAGCCTGCGCTTTTCCTCGTCCGATATACCTATATTACAAAGGTTTGAGCCCGTCATCAGTACTAACTACTTTAAACTTGCACTGCAGTCAAAAAAGTCATATTTCTTGAGCAAACTCATAAAGCAATATAGTATTGCAATGAACATGAAATTAGGATTTTCTGTAAAAGAAAAAATTACAAAAAAATATACTTGAACAAACCTGGATAAGCATATTAAATTCGTTATTAGTGTCAACTTATAAACTATTTAATATGTAAAAGTCATATTTCTGTGTGAAAACTTGATTAATATGTCATTGTAGCTGAATTTTTTTCTTTCAACGGCAACGTAGGAGGTGACAAGGGTCTGTAGTCTCTGTTCCAAGACTGTAGCTTTGACATTACTTGCATTTGCAGGTTGGATTGCTTACGCAAGCAACTTATTTAATCTCATTTCTTCTACATAACTTGTTACAGGTTTCGAGTGCTTTTGATTTTGTTCAAGTTTAACACATCTAATTTTTTATGGTGATTAAAATACAATTATTTGCTGATTTTATGTGGTTCAAATCTCATGCTAATTTAACAAATTTATTCGATGATTTGATTAATGTTCAGGTTCAAATTTTTGTTTTTACTATTTGCATTTGAATAAAGCAAATTGTTGGATTGCTTAGTAATTTGTGATCTGCAAATCCTTAAGACCCCTTTGCATGATTACATACATGATATAATTATATTTGTATTATGAAACCCTAACATCAAATTGGTATCTGATCACTTAGAAGAAGCCTAATTAGTAGGGTAACTTCATAGATCATGAAATAAGTGAAGTTTTAACAAATTTCGCAAAATCAGTTGGCTGAATTCTTGAAAAATAACTTAATTGTGTGATGGCATTAACATGGCAAAAGCACAAATTGACACATTAGAAACTAATTAAATTCATCCATATGAATTTCAAACAGATTTCAATTATTATGATAAACCAATACATTTAAATGTTAATTCTTGTATAGGTTGTTTACATTTAAAGAGAGTAATTTACTTGATTAGTTGATTGGTGTAATTTGTGAATCCTCAAGTTCCTTTTCATGATAAACCAATACATCATAATAGTTGCGTTAAGAAACCCTAAATCTGAAAAAACCTACATCAATAGAGAAAGACATGAAACTGAAAATTTCTTGAGGTTATAATTGCTGCAAAAATGCCACTGTTTACATCAATCATAAAATATGATATTGCTAACAGGCCAATTGAAACAAGGAAAATGAAATAAGATCAGGACAACATGATGCTGATTGAATCGTTACAAAGGTGCTTCATCCATATATAAGCTATTTTAGGGGAAAAAAGGTTATTTTGCAAGAGTATAAGCAGACTTACTTGTCTTTAAGACTACAAAGGCGATATTCCAAAGTTGATGAAGTACATGGACTTATTTATCAATGAATCCACTTACATTTCATGACAAAAAAACTAAATACTTATTAAATAAATGATATATACCTTAGAAAAAATATATATCAATAGCTATATAAAAAACTATATCAAAAATATAACAAGATTCACATAAATGCATTAATTGTCAAAAAGCTTGTGGCGAGATGGTAATCAAAGTTAAGGTTTTTGCAGGTTGTAGCATTATGGTGCTTAAAATTAAGATCAAATTAAGACACACAAGTGTCTCAAAAGTTACAAATTAATGAAACTCTCAAAAGGTATACTATCACCTAGCACATTCAGTAAGCACATTAACCAAAACAAATCAATATTTTTAAAATGAATTAATAATATGTTCAATTATTTATCTTCCCTTGAAAAGCATGCATCCCCCGGATGCCACAATATCATATTAAAAAGCAAAAATATTTATAATAACAAACCAGGAACATCAGACAGCATCAGATTTAATAGCAGCTTTCTGCGGATCTCCTGCGCATGGTGCACTTCACGAAGAAAAATTGCATGTTCCTTCACACCATGAATGCCAAAGGTTGAAGCTTCTGCACCCAAAGCAATGACCAGCTTGTCATATGACACCTGAAACTTCCATGGCTCCAAAGGAGCAGAGTTGGTGCTATCTGTAACAGTCTCACATTGCACCTTGAAGAGCGTACACAAAATAAGAACAAAAAAAAAGACAGATTTAGCCAAAAAAGTTTGCATACTTTTCCACCAAGCTTAGATAATAAAACGCAAAATGGTAGGTACAATTATTCTCTACATCACAATTGACAAGTTGGTTTTCGGCTTCTTTCTTCAAAAGTATCTGATTGTAGTATTAAAAAGAGCACAAATCTTTTGTCCACTTTTTTAATCCGACCAACTAATGTTAGAAAAATGCCTCTATCGTTCTTCAGAACTAAGAGCAGGCCACTCATCCCAATCAAATAATCAAATTCAGACAGAATATCATCATTTCATTAGGAAAGATGGATTGGTTTTTGCCAGTAAATATAGCTAACTTTCCCTTTAGGGTTACGTTAATTCAGTCCAGAGTAAATTAGCCATAGTTGCATTTCTGCTACAATTGCATAAAAGCCATTTTACCTATTCCGCATGGCCAAACATTGACAAATCAAATTAGTCTAGGTATTATTTCTATTTTGATTACGAATAAACCACTGTGAACTATTTGGCGTGATCAATTTTTTGCACAAGTAGAATTCCTCTTCCACTTAACTTGGTTAACAAAGCAAAAATATATATATATATATATAGAGAGAGAGAGAGATCAGTTATTTTGACATTCTATATCTAAATCTAGCTTTAAAAAACCTCTAGTTGTCCATATAGAATAACAAATAGTTCATTTAAAAATAACGAGAATGTTATGATCTTCCATTAGTTAAACCCGAGCAAGGGAAACTAAGGATATCCAACTAGTTCATCAATTTTCTAGGGTTCCTGTCATTCTAAATTATCTAGAAAGCACCCTGTCCAGAAAAGAAAAAAGGAAGAGGAGAATGAGTCAATAACTGCTCGGACAGCAAGATATCAAATGTGGATTAGGATCTTTCTTTTTGTCATCACGTTAACCGTCAGATAACAAGATATCAAATGTCAGCATATCTACTAATTTTTAAACTGATTCTTTCTAGTCAGTTTTATGTAGAACTTAAGAGTGATTTAGGTAAAATCCAGGCAAATGAAAATTTCTGGGAATATGAACCCCATTGGTTGCTAAGGCTTATGAATTCCATTGGTTATGAAATCTTGTATTCATAATATCTGGGTGATTTAATTAGAATCAGTAAATCCTTTTAGTTTCAAAGTTAAGGCATTTATTGATTGTGCTAATATTTTGGTGCGCTCCGCTGCTACCCTGTGCCTTCTTCCTCCTCTTGTCGCTAGTTACTAGTTTCATCTTCCTTCTTCCTCATCCCATCATGAGAGCCTTCCCCACTTTAGTCATCATCATCTAATATGTTATTCCCGCTTCTCTCATAACATTGTGGCACGCATACTCCACTTGACAATGAGATCGCTATTCTCTAAACTCATTAGCCACTTTTCCACTTATGGCAAGTTTGCAGTGGTAATTTTTCTTCTCTTCTTCCCCTATTGTCATTGACAATGTAAATTATTATGTGATGTTGAGATCTGTCTTCCCCAATTTTTTTCTCTCTATGTAGTGTCATCCATATTTAGACACATTTATCCCTTGATCGACCTAACTGTCTCATCACTGGGCTCCTAATTTTGGGTCATTTTTTCAATAGGATCATGAACTATTTGGATATTAAAATTTCTATAAAAAAAATGATCTTTGAGGGAACTAATCTATGCATACAAAAAAAATGCAATTTGCTTTATTTGTGTATGTTTCCAATGATATATATATTAATTTCCTTACAAAAATTTTAGTAAAAGTGATTCGTTCTCATTCTTGTAAAACGACAGCTAAATCATCTGTTTTTTGAAAAAGAAAAGTATTGATATAATTTCATGAAAAAGTTCTTTGGATCGGTAAACAATCTTGTGATTTATCAAAATACACCGTTTATATATTTAAAAGTTATACTTCTGTGGATTTCATAAGAATATTGTTGTATTTTAATGAGAATTTCATAAGGGTGTTTATGCCCACTAGTGATTGTCGTGGAGTCTCTTCTCTCCTCCCATCCCTATTATTCAACTATCCCTTGTTTGGTATTATCAGTGTGATCAATTATACATTCAAATGGATTTTGAGAAAAGATTTTAGAAGTGCTACTTAGGCCTCCAAATTGATAACCTCCAGCATGAATAAGTTGAATTGCGTTATTTGCACAAAAACCCCAGTGGTGCTAAAGAAGAATGAATATGATTAAATCAATAAGAAACTCAAAACAAAAAAGCATATCAAATAACATTTTAAATATATTAATAAATCATATAACATAATATTGTAAATATATTAAAAAGGACCATAGTTTTAAGCCATTTAGCATGTATCACAACGTTGAGTGATATGACTTCAATTAAAAGATTAATGATATGCATACTACAGTTGTTACTTGTGTTCTAACAGGAGAGTTGATCAAGTAATTTCCTATTTCAATTGGATTACATCAAAGATCGGCTTTAAGTCAATATCCTTTTTTCTTTAGTTATGGATGCTCTTACTGGATATTTATAGGACTTACCTTGGTGTAAGTTTTTCACTGATGATATCATTCTTGTGGATAAGACTAGAGAAAGAGTTCAGGAAAACTTGAATTATGGAGGTCTATATTGGAGTCTAAAGGCCTTCATTTGAGTAGATCTAAAACTGAATACATGAAATATTTTTTAGAAGTAGTAGATCTAGTAGCTGAGTTTTAACTATGGGTGATCAAATCATTAAAATGTGTGAACGTTGTTGATATCTCGAGTTTATTGTTCAAATTGATAGTGATATAGATGGGGATGTTATTAGTAGAATTCACGTTGGTTGATTGAAGTGGAGGAAAGCATCGTGTCTATCGTGTGATAGGAAAGAACCACTTAAACTTGAGAAAATATAAGATGGTGGTGAGACCTGTAATGCGTTATGACGTAGATGTTGGCCTTTAAAAGAAAAGCATAAAATTAGGTTAAGTGTTGCTATTATGAGAAGTTTAGGTGGATGAGTGGCTTGACACCTAACAAAATGTGAAAGGAATGTATCTATTAAAGAGTCGGTGTAGCTCCAGTGGTAGACAATATTAGAGAGAATCGTCTTAGCCGCTTTGGTCATATTAAACGTCAACGATCTGATGATCTTATTAGAAGAGTTGATGTTTTAGATTCAACTTATGTTAAGAAAGTAAGAGATAGACCTAATAAAACTTGGACATATTGTATTAAAAATAATCTTAATTTATTAGACTTAAATGAAAATATGACACTCAATAGGACACAATAGAGAAAAAGGGCTCATATAGCTGACCCCGCTTACTGGGATAAAGGCTTGTTGTTATTGTTGTCGTTGTTGTTGATGTAGAGTAAACATAAGTCAAGAAATACAAATTTTTAGTTTTCCTTGAAACCTTACTTATTGAGTATTGGTAAACCTTGTTTTTGTCATCCTTGAAATAAAGATACTCCATTGTAGTTGTGATAACTCACTTCAATGCCTGAAAGCATAATTCAAAATTGTCTATCAATTGACTAACATAAGTGAGTGGGGTTGGGATGAAGCCCCATGTAACCCCTAATGCATGCATAAAAGAGTCACACTGTAAAATGTAATGGAAACCATCTAACTAGGTTGTCAATTTAGTATGTGTCTAGTAAGTAAAAGAGTATACCAAATTGCACGAAAGAGCTTCCTTAGCTAATTAGAGAGAGAGGGATATGACTAGCACTTGGAAGATATCATTTATCTAACTTTGATTATTCAATTGCAAATAGTAGTGTAACCTTTTAAAGATATTGATACTCGCAAAGAATATCTTAAAAGTGATTCTTATGAATATTATATCACTCGAAAGATGTATAACCATAGCCATGCCTAGCACTGAACAACAGTGGAAGAAACTTTCAATATGTAGAAAAAAATGATTTTAAGTGTTCACCCATATTTGATAATTTTCTTTGATTGATCAATCTGATGTTGTCCTTGATCACACACTCCTTCACAATATCATTAATCATTACTATGGACATAATATATGTTTCTAAAATATCCTAAACTAAGATACAACAAATAAAAACTTAGGCAAGGTTAATCAAGGTTTAAACACCCCACTATACATGCAATAATTGAGGAGCAATTTCCAGGAGAGGCGCAAATTCATATGATGACAACAAAATTAGGGAGCATGACTAAGATGATTATTGGATAGCATGAATAGACTTCTCGTAAATTTTTTTACTTCCAATAATATTTTCTTATCCTCAAGAAATTCGATAGAATCAATGTTTCTCTTAATAGGAAACAACTTTTCATCTACAATTGTCAACTGAGTTTGCCTTCAAATTTATTTCATGTATGTGTATCATGCATTATTCAACTTATACTCTTCTATTTTATGTTATTGACCAGTCCTAATGTAAATCTACATCTAATCATCATTTCTTCTTATCATTCTTGTTATCTTTTCTAGTATAGATGCCATATCATCTTGTGTTTATAAAGCAACACCCTGGAGTATATGAACTTGGGAAGAATATTATGTAGGTTTGAATGACTTCAGCAGCTCATTGTAAGGCCATGCAGGCACTAGTAAGGAGGGTGATGTAGGCATGTCTAGAGTGATGCAATTAATGCCACTACAGAAGATATTTTTGTTTACATAGTTGTTAGGATACCTGACAAGCTTTTTTATTTAAAAAATCACCTTGAACGTTGATATTTTGATGCTTACTAAGACATAAGCTTTGCACTTTCTTCTACTTTGTGCTTTTGTCGCATCGGGCAACTTGTTTGATATTATATGATTTGTTAACATTAAACATAACGCTTTATGCTTCTTAATGATTTTTTTATTAAAAACTATTTAGATTTTGTGATTTTATCATAACTAGTGATGGTAAAGGCATTTGACGCTCCAAGACGACATGGCTATCTAATACCTGAGGCACTAGGTATTATTAAGTGCTTTTCAAAACAAAATAAGATATTAATAAATTTACTCTATTTAACTATAAGAAATATTTTTACATAGTACAATATTTTTACATAGTACAATATGATAATCTTCACAAATAACATAATAAAATCTAATCACTCAAAAAAAATAAGTTCAAATTTAATGCCATTTTAAATACCAAATCCTTATTAGATAGATTAGCTAAAAAATATGCTTCAATTTTAAAGAAAGCAAATAAAAAAAATGATTGTGACTTCCATAACATAAGCTCAATCTATTTTGCATTACTATCCATTCATCTTCTTCGTCACACATACTCTCTTCACCATTATTAGTTTTATAGTAGAACATTTCTTTCTATGATTGTATTTGCTTTTAAAAAAAAAAGCATCATAGAAGAGGCTCCCATGCGACTAGGGTCTTGCACAAAAACACACATCTCGGCAACATTTAAACCTGACCAATCTATAAGTAGTGTGTTCCTTGAGTGCAAAATTTAATTTTTCAATCATATGATTTGAAACGATTTTCTCCAATTTCCTCCATTAATAAAAATACCACTCCCTTTAGATTTCACGATTCTATTATGAAATATATTATATTGAAGCCAATTAGACTCGGGATCTATATTAATTTTCACAATCTTATGAAAAAAGTCACTCTTTACTTTTTCCATCGAGATAACTAAAATGTGCATTAATACCCCATCTTTCGGTCATATATATATATATATATCGACGGGCGGACCCCCCTTCCAGAAAGGTGCGCAATTCGATCATACGCAGAGATTGAACTCCCGACCCGAGAGACTTACACCAAAGGCCGCAACTAATAAGTCAGGCTAAAGCACACAGTCAAATATAATATATATATATATATAT